TCTAGTCAACACTGGTCATCTTATCTCCTCAATCTCTTCATTTAAGATTTCCTCTATAAGGCAAGAAATAACCTGTCAGAGTCGTTATGTATTCAGCTCGTATCACTGAAGCCTTGAACATGGATAAAAAAAGCTGGAGGTATGTTTACAGAAAGCATTTATGCAACTACTTCTTCTATAGTCTAAGTCAGCCTATGTTAAAATATCATTACTGCTTATGTCTACAGTGATTTTATTTATTTGTTTCGTTTATTCAGCCTGTCAATTGATTAGTTTTCGTTATTATCTCTTTTTTCCCTCTTTATGTTTTTAAAACTTATGGTGCTTAACAAAACTACTTCTGGTAGTTCCTCGATTTATGTGAAACTGAAAATTAACAAACGTTTAATTTCATATTACTAAGGAAATTCCGACAGAATTCAAGTCAATTCGAACGGAGGAACATGTCAGCCTAGTAATATGTACAAGAAGAGTAGTAAAGCATTACCTGTTGATTTCTTATAGAAAATCTATAAAAGTCTTATTTGTGCGATTATGAATAATGCGAAACTTATTTAGTTAATAGATAGTTTAATTGGATTGGATACATTTTGATGCATGTCGGTTTACATCTTGTAACTGTCATACTTGTTTTCTACCATAGCACCACAATGTCTCGAATACACTTCCATTTAAATTATCTCATCTCATGACTCAAAAAATAAAATCATTTTTAAGAAATAAGCTTAAATATTCCGATTCTTTAAACACATTGTGTGTAGTCACGTATTAACAGATTTTCAAACGGTTGGAGGCAGTCTGCAGGAAGCCTCGGACCTAGGTTTCGTACTTGCTGAAATTGGTCAGAAGGGTGTTGTGAAATTTTGTAGGAACTTGTATTTCTTCTGAGATTCGAACCCAGTTCATGCAGTGCTGCAGTGACAGATGTTACAGCTGAGCTAATCGAGCTCGCTATTGATCACCTGTGAGAGTGTAATGAATATTTTGGTTGGATGCTAGATCGCCAATTCAACTGATATAATTTGGTCTGCGTGAAACAGAAGACTAGACGCATAGTATTAGTTATTAGGTAGTGTTCAGCCGAAGTACTGGCAGTTTATTAAATACTGAATTCATAAGGTACGAAGTTGTCGATCATTTTATTTCTTAAGGACTTAGTATTTTACATCATGGAAATTATTTTATCCTACTCTGCCGTGCAACTATCAGTAAAGTTAGAAGTTCTCACAGACTAAGAGCTGCACTGACAATATTTGTAAGATGTTCCCTAAACTATTCATTGCAATGTTCAAGCATGCTTCAGTTTCGTGGAAAGTATTTGGTGTTACAATATTTTAATAGACACTGTCATATTTCCCATTTGAATAATATACAACTAGCTCATAAAATTTACAGTTTCATACCAATTAGGCATTATACATAGTTCCTATTGTTAAGGTTAAGAACTTCGAAGTTGTATAACTATATGCCGGTTTATAAGCCAGATATAATAACATTTGACCTATAGTCATAACAGTGCCAAGATATATTATTATTATCATCTGTTCAGAAGAAAGCTTTACAATTATTCAAACTGCACGGATTATTAGTAAATTACGTAAACAGTTTTTATTTGAAGAGTTTGGCATGTTTTGAACGTCTGTCCAACGCGATACATGAAGCTTTCAGTTAATTTTATAATTCTTTGATCACTTGTCTATACCTTGAAATCATGATGCGTTCTTAAGCGCGTTTTTGATGTCCTCTAGTCCAAAACTAGCGAAAGAAACTGTAAAAGTACTACTTTATAGCGATGGAAACACAAAAAGGCGATGTTCAACTTGGATGGAATCCACAGAATTATGTTTTACAACATGCTTCCAGTTCATTAATTAAATTTACGAACAGACAAAAGGAACACCATTGGGCACGCCCATACCAGGATTAAAAACTGAAGTCGTTATGCAAAGATTAGAATTAATAGCCTTACCAATAATTAAACCAAAAATCTGGGTACTTTACATTTGTAATAATTAGGAGAAAGGATTCAGAATATACCCACAAATTAATAAACAATATATTTGAAGACAGTAAACTTACAAGAAAAGAAGAATTAGACAACAAAGATCTCTTAATCAAGAGAACTAACACAAGAAATTTAAAAACACAGGTATATAGGGAATCAGCGCACACAGGCCAAGTACTCAACGATAATAATTATTACCCTATTAGACACAAAAGAAACTTTGTGCAGACATTATTTAAAAGAGTTCAAATACATTGTACCACTCCGGTGTTGAAGAGAATGGAGGTAGAGAACACACTAACCGTCTTCAAAATGTGTTTAAACCATCACCAAAGACCACAAGAAAATTCATTCTACCTTAGATAAAAATATCTCCGAAATAACAGTTAGGATATTAAAACCGTTTGAAATGGATATAGCACATACCCAGCCAGTACAATCACTTCATTCGATATTGTGTAAACTGAAAGATACAACAGGAGAAGAAGATAAATTTAATATCATTGATAAAAAAATTAGTTTTATAAACTGTAACAGTCATTACATCGGCCAAAGTGGGCGTCCCCTACGAATCCAAATCGAAGAACACAAATTAGTCGTATTTCGTATTGTGTATTGTATCTTCTTTCGTATAAATGTGTGTGGATAATCATGGACACCAAGTCGATTGGGATAACGTGTAAATTTTAAATGAAGGAAACGCCAGAAATGCCAGGAAATTTCTAGAAGCCTTGTACTCAAGTAAATCAGCATTTAACAAACACATTACTATAGGCCAAATTTACCAGCTAATAAAAAATTATTCACATGATAAGAAAGTTTGAATTCCAAGTGAATGAAAATGATCAACAGAGACTTGAATTATCAACCAGTCACGGTGGTGGTTGCCAGGGCATACAATTATATCATTCATGGAGAATTTTATTGAGTTCATTTTATACTAAGATCTGAACTGAGTAATTTCAAAGTTCAGAAGAATGTCATAAAAGTCAAAATGAAATAAACTATAATTTATGAAGTATGAGCTTGATCTAATATAGAGCTTGGTTGTTAGAAAATTCTTCGTTATACGATTGAAAGTTAAAGATAAATTTATCCAAATAGTGACAAGAAATAATAGTAATAATAGCCTGAAGTAAACTAGGTGGAAAGGAATCAGAAGATTGCAATAAGATAGGAAGATGTGAGATGATTACGTCCCTGATAGGCGTATAGGTTTGCCAGGGTAAACGCGTAGGATGAGTGCAATTTCTTACACACAAGTTGGATTTGTTCATATTGATTCACATAGCTTCAGCTACGACTTTGAGGCGTAATCACATATCTTTAGGCAGATTGTTTGGTAGTCAATATAGGACCATAAATGGTGAATCCATTTGAAAATTGAACTACTCTTGTGGAACCATTTATATAAGCATTCATCTTTACACACTTGTGAACATGAACCAGTTTCTCTTAGAAAAGGAGTAACCGGATCAATAATTAATGCTATTTGAGCTCACTGATGGGTCATTTACTGTCGTTCATCAGCTGCCGAACATCCTCTTTAGAGTTACGTGAATACACCTATTAGATATAGCTGAAGGGATAGGCATCATTAAGAGCAAACCTAACAAATATATCCTTTTTGATTAAGTTTTATGTCTTAGATCGGAGAAAACATAAAGTATTCTCAGTGTTATGTTAGTGGAACATCCATACTTAATAAAAATATCACCAGTGTGTCTTTGAAAAATGCACCTTCAAACAAAAAAGTGTGAGTTTTATGAGCCTTTCTTGTGAAAAATCTTACTTTAGGTGGATTACAATGTATCCATCCAGCTGTCTCTTTTGGTAGTTAGTAAAATCTGAATAATTCTGATGAGGAGACTCTAGCTTACACAGCGAAAAGTTCAGAAAAATAACGTTTCGATTTCTTTTTAAATACTTTGGGACTTGACCCTCAACTTACCTCAGTAAATTGGTAACATCTACATTCTAGAAACTTATAGTCCCTTTTTAGACCTTACAAATCAACACTGTAGAAGGCTATATTTAATTTTAGCTATATTTTATATTTTTTCTACACTTTAGTTTCATATTAATTAATGCTAGAAAAATTCAATATTTCTTAAAGATTTATCAGATATTGTATTATCTGGTATAATTATTCAGAGTATAACTGTTTATTTACGTTTCCACTATCAGTTAATTGTATTCTTTAAATTAAATAAATTTTGAGTATTCGGTGTATAGTAATATTAACACTTTACTATGTTAAACAGTTACATTTATCCAATTAGTGATAATATAGCCTTGCATAGTTTACTAGCCGACTCTAAACCCAGACAAAGATGGAAGTTTGAACGTTGGGCTGTTGACTAAGGTTGATATGGAGGGGATGGAGCGAGCAGGAGATGACTGCCTATAGGCGATCGTGAGGCAAGCTAAAGAGGACTGCAGAGAACAAGACGAGATGGAGATGGGCTATTGAAGCCGTATGTTTCACAAAGAGCCAAAAAAAGACAAAAATAAATGTTCATAATAGTAAAAATATTTCTTCTTATACTGTCCACCAGTGATAATGTTTCTTGAGTCTAATTCCATGAGGTTTTTAATGCTAATTCACCTTCACCACATACATATGTACATCATTACAGTAGATAGACACAAGGGATAGATTTAGTTTGTGTTATATAAGTCTTAGAAATAACAAGCTCTGATATAGATAACGGTCAGAACATGTAAAAGTTATTTTGAAAGCAGATAACTCTGAAATGCGACACTCGACATTAGTCATAATATTGTCCACAGCGAATTATCTAGTTTTATAAAGGCAGATATCATTAATTCTGTATATGTGGTATGAGAGACCTTATGAAAAGTACTATAGAAAGTATTACACCCATAAGGTGACTCAAAAAGACCGAAAACGCAGAATCTATCGTGCTTCTCCTAACTGAAAGCACCTGTAATACTCAAAAAGTTAAAAGTCTACTTTGTCATAGTGTGATGTATTTGAGTCAATGAAACAGTTCAGTTTTACTCTAATACGCATACTGCTTACGCTTTCAAAATCAACAGTTACAACATTGTTTCCTTAAATTTTGACATTGGTTAAATTTGAAATCTAGATTCACATTACACTGGCCTACAATTTCGCTATGTTCTTCATGAAAGCATAGTTTGACAACATGTAAGCAGTTCACTCTACACTAACGACAACATCTCCGTAGACATTGAAAAAAATTAAAACAAAGAAGAGACTATGTTGGAGAAAAATATTTTATTTAACTAATATAAGCATAAGTCAAGATTGTAATGATAAATAAATACAAGTATTATATAAGTGGCACATATTTTTTTTGGTTGGGTTTTCTGCAATATTTTAATCATATATTGGTCTCAATTTTCTTTTTTTTTCTTGTCTGTTGATTCACTCTTCTTATCACTGGATCTCATTGACGGATCACAATCTAACCAGATTTAAACAATAGTACTGCACGATCCTCGAGGTAGAAGTAGATGAAATTTTGAGTTTCATGAGTTACGTAACTTTAAGGGGGGAGGGAGAAAAAAGTAAAATGGAAAAACAAACATTTAATACTTATCTGTCAGGGTTAAAAATTGAAAAATGTATTGTTGTAGAGAATTGACTTAATATTAGTTAATATATGTATCACCTAATGCAGAGAAGTGGAATGAAATTAAATATTCTGTATAAAGCTTATAAACATTTATAAAGAATAATACAAAACATATATATATGTTATAGTAGACATACCTTCCGAAATGCCTTCCAACTATACAATGCCATGTAGGATTATATTTACGATCAAATTCTTTCTTAATATAAGCGGCTACATCTTTTTCCACATCGAATTTATCTAATGCACTAGCGGCTACATGCACGGCATCATCCTGCATATCAGGATTCATGTCAGCATTTTTAATAACAGCTTTTCGTTCACCCATCCTACTTGGTTAGTTCTTCTCAAATAATTCAGTAAAACCAACTGTTTTTAAAGCTTGATAAACACAGTTTTATGTATATATATAGAGAGATTCTGATCACTCATCTCAGGTTTTGGTATGACCGAGCTCTCTAAATCACATTTAGCTTCAGTAACTTGGCTTCGCTTCACCTGATACACAGACACACACACACAATTCGTATAAAAATACTATTTCATTTAATCAATCAATCTGTCAATGTGTGTTTCCACCTGGTACACAATTAGCTCCCACGTATATATATGCTATGCATATTCAAATACCTTCTCTACTTTCTCCAAAAATTTAGTGTGCGCATACGAAGTGTCTGTTACACTATCATTACACTGTTATTTCTTATTCAGTGTGTGTTAACAGTTCTCTCACTATCTTTATAATTTCTTGGTAGTATGTGATTATTTCAGTTGTTGTAGAAATCAATAATGCTTTGATTTCTCTGATAAAATCAACTTATTCTGAGTGGGTGTTCATGCACATAAGAGATACACATGAGTACACAGAGAAATGTGCTTAAATAATAATAATAATAATAGTCATAATAATGATTATAAATACGAAACAATAATTGATTTTGCTATCTGGTTATCCTTTTTGAGTAGTATTTTAGCTAGACTAGTTGATGGAAATCAACACATATCTAACGTGAAAATTAGAGTCCATCTATACAAGGACATTTTATATCTATTGAATGTATTATTGACTTGTTTGTGTTCTACGTTATCATAACATTCAGAGTACTATTGTATGCGAATAATAGAGTGAAAAATGATGATTTTACCTATTAGATCATTTAATTCGTCAAGAGAATTTTGTAAAAGAGAGATTGAATTAGCACTAACTAAACAGACATCTAAACCGCTTCACTGGTTTCACTAAAAGTTATAATAAAAAGCTTTCATGCGATACTATCCACTTATTAGCTACAAATATGCGCTTCCCTATTTAGCATTTTAAGATAACTAGTTGATTTGAAGTCTCCACCATCAGAAAATTTTTACTTATGAATTTTCGTCTTTTTATAGTATCAGTGTAAGAGGTTTTACCTCTTAGAATGAAGGTCAGAGAATATGAAATCACCAGATAAAGAGACGTTCCACAACAAAGAATTATATTGCACTGAAGAATGAATACCTAATAGGTAATATGCTCATAGTAAAAAGCTAAACCTACCGCTGAATTCTACATTATTCGTAGGCGTTTACATTTTAATAGTTCAATGAAGAATAGTCGACGTATTGTATAGTAAACAAAATTAAGCAGTTCATTAAAAGATGTAGAAAGTGAACGCAACGTTCACAATTTTAGATCTTTTGTGAACATAAACAGTTACAAATATGTCGTAAAGGGGACTGCAGCAACTCACCATATAATTACTTGAAAAAAAAGCAATAGAAAAGCAATAAAGACAAATAGGGAAAATGAAATATAATTAGTTTTGTAAACTGAGTCGAGTTTATGCATCTCATTCCAGTGAGTAATCCAACTAAATATTTACTTCTCTATTTAGTTGTTCGTCTCTAAAAATCGTTTGATATTGTTGGTTGGGCTAGGAAACTGTTTGCTCTTAAAGATCACCTCTAATAGTTGAGATATTTTATGTAGTTCTAATGGAACTATTGTAATTAGTAAATAATTAGAAGTATTAGTAAATTACTTCTGCTTTGCTTACAGAATTAAAATGAATGAATAATAGTTCTACAAGAGGAATTAGTGTGTTTTTTCGACTAATAAAGAATAACCTACAAAATGCAGAGTTCTGATAACACATTGTTAAGATTACTAACCATAAAAGAACTCTACAATTAGCCAGATAAATGAAATTTGCCCATTAGCTATGAAATATATTTTGAAAGCAAGTAGATGAACTACCAAAAGATTGAAATCATTAGAATTTGAAATCTGGTTATCATTTTAATGGGCTTTTCAGTATGAAAATATCCTCTTCAAAGCAAAATAAACTCTAAAGAAATATAACTTACTGTTCTTATGAAGATTGAGAAACAGCTTAACTGTATTCATTATGGCATTCGTCATTTACAGATATTCTACGGTTAAAATATAAGGGGGAGCGTCCATTTAGAGGTCTAATGATATTTCCTAACCAGTTCTTCAATATAAAATTTTTTTTTAATTGAAGGAAACATAATCTAAAGGCGCTATTACTGAGATCAAATCAAAGGCATGCAGGATTTCACCATGAGCTGACGTCAGCTAGAAAACCACTGGAAAACCTGGGAGTACTGGACAGCTGTTTTGTCAGCCTAGTTTGGGACTCTTCAGCAGTACGCACTCACCAGGGTTCGAACCCAGGAACTTCTGGTTACAAGCCGATCTCGTAGACCATTGAGCCGGATTAACTGCTGGTAAATTGTGGTATCTATCTAACAAATAACTCAAATCCTATGCTAATTTTCACAAAACACTCACATAATACACTAGGTAAAATAAAAACCATCAGTTATTAACTGTATAGAAGTATTGAAACAGTATTAGATAGGCTGATTCTTGGCTTGAGATTAGCATTAACTGAGTTTGTGAAAGTTAACGGAATCAAGTTAGTACTCAGATGATAATGTGTGCTGCCAGGTAAGATTCTATTGCTTTGTGGGACCAACACATTTCCGATTTTAGTTTAATAATGATAATAGCAGCTTTTATGCTGAAAAATGCGTTTTACACACAATACCGAATTTGAAGCGGATTACATTGTAAGGGGTATTTATCCCTTTATTCAGAATCTTGAAATAATATAATGATCGATGATATATCACCTGAAGCAGTGTTGGTTCATCTCCAATTTACCCTTACATTCCATTCGAAAAATCTATACATGTCGGTTGAAATTTATTTGAAATTGTGGCAATTAGAAGATTGAAACAATTTGAAACAGAGTAAAAAACAATGCATTCTAATGGACAGAAAATTTAGGTGGGCCAGTGATTTCATCAACAGGTCACCATGGCAATCATCTAAACAATACAATTCGAACTGTGCAAATTTTAAAAAAAAACATCATAGATCAATCGTTTTAACTATTTTCTGACACACTACCTTCATCAAATCCATGTGCATTTTCAAGTCAAAGTAATAAAAAGAAAAACACCAGTAAAAGTTTCAACTCACCTTCCAAAATGCTTTCCAACTACACAATGCCAGTTTGGAATATATTTACGATCGAATTCTTTTTTAATGTAGGCAGCAATATCTTTTTCGACATCATATTTATCCATTGCAGCAGATGCCACGTAAACAGCATCATCTTGCATAGTTCTCTCCATATCGGCATTCTTAATGACGGCTTTACGTTCAGACATTTTGTAGTAGTCTTTTCGCTTTCTTTGTTTCTATCTAACTGTATGCCACAGTAGCCTATTTATACTCTTAAAATCTCTTTTTTGAAAAATTTAAATTGATTGAAGAGGTTGGCAATTTCAGTTAAGGCTTTTAAATCTAGTCCTCATCAGATATATAAGTTGTCATCAAGCATAAATGGTAATTATGTCAATGAATTACAGGTGAGGTGAATACTACTTTCATTTGCACCCTTCATTTATTCCAAATATAAATTAAGTAATATATGCATAAAAGTAATCATACAATCATAAGATGGAATTACTTATTATTAGTGTTGATGATGATGATGTTGAATTCATCACGAAATTATTGAGATTTACAGTAATAGTGATAGCTGTAAGAATACACACCACATGATGATGACATTAAAAAAAGGATTAAAATTCCATAAATGGAATGAAAAAAGAGATGATGACATACACAGGTGAACTTTTGAAAATGCTTTAGAATTGCTCATTTTTCTTTGTGAGCATTATGGCCTTAGGCTAGAGAAAGAAATAAATAAAGAAAGAAAGCTGTCCTCTTAAGTACGTATTCAAGAGGAATCTAGTTTTTTGACAAAGGAAATTCATTCAGTTTCTATGTGAACTGTATTGCATATTAATTAGTAGTAAGTGTTCTGTAAATATAATTAAATCTCATCATCAGTAAATCTTTTTTATGATACATTTCACCGATATGACAAGAATGAGGGTTTAATTACAAGTAAGATGACATAAACTAAACGTTTAGTGGTTATGAACCAGTTATGTTCAGTATAAAGAATTACAGAATTAATAGATTTATGAAAATTTGTCGCCCAAAATAGATATATTCTATCACCTAGAGTTTAACAGCAGTAAAATGGAACGGTACCTGAATTACGCACCGGTAATAACATTACATGTGCGTCTGTGGCAGAGCGGTTAAGACGCTTGCTGACCATGCATATGGTCCGGGGACCGATTCTTGGCCGACTCACTTCTTTACCTTGCTAAGTCAGAAATAATTCTGGTAAAGAGGAAAGGTTGAGCATGAGGCTAGCAACCCCATCCTGTAAAAATAAACACTGCTACAGAAACTTCAAGCCACTTGCTTGAAGCCCTATGTTCCACTGGGAACGTGAAGGAAAAAAAATAACATTACATTGACGATCACGTCAACAGACTCTTTAAAGGGTCTTTTTACATTGGCACACAACCAGTTGACCTTAGTGATATGAAGATAATCACATTTTGTAATGGAAAAAATGTTTGGTAAATCCCATCTGGACACTGTAGTTACGGCACCGCCTCTTATTCAGAAACCCCAACTTTGTAAACACTATCTTTCTCCTCCTAGACTAAATATTATTGTTGTGAGGCTTGCATATAATATGACGACTTAATCCTTAGTATTTGTCTTTCTTCTGGTTTAGTCTCTAATTTTAGAACCTCTTCCTGTGGTTGTGTAGTGATAGTGTTTGTTCTACAATGCGACGCTGTTTGAATGAGCCAAGGTCATTCTGACTTTGGACTGTTTGTGAAAATCGTTTGGTGCTGGATTCTTGTTGATTAAGTTTTGATCCCACCTTGTTGGGAACATTTTTCTTGATTCTACTTTCTACAGATGATTTTCATATCACTACTTTTGTTCTACAATACTTGTTTTTTTAGTGGAAATTTTCGGGGATCTGTATAGCCGTTCAACGACAATGTTTACGTAATTTTGACTATTCGATATGTTATTATTGTTAGTCCATGCTATAGATTCTATTGTAAACAACTGTGTTTTTGCTGTCATTGAGGCATTTTGTGATTGTGAGCAATATAGGGAGGTTTTAGCTCGGTTTCTTGCGGTGAGACCGTAACACGTCAGTTTGGGTCGTTACAGTTGCTGAGATGTTCACAGACACGGGAATATGAATGAACTGGGATTTTAAAACAGTTCTAATGTGGTTGAATAACCAAGACCTATACGATTAGCTGTTATGAATCACACATGTAGTAGTAAAGTTGTAGTAT